TTCTAAAAAACAAATAAGTTAGAATTTTTAATTAGAGATAGAGTGAGTGTATGTTATCTAATTTTTTTATTTTACTTTTATTTATAAATACACTTTTTTATTATTTGTAATAAAAAAGTGTATTTTATTTCATTTTTTTATTTTTCATTTTCTTTTGTAACATTTTCTAAAAAAATATTTTTTTTGAAAAATTAATAAATGAATAATTTTAATTTGAGAAAGATGGTGTGTATTTATTTTATTTATTTGAATAATAAAAAATGTAAATAAAAGAGTGAAACTTGGAGATAGAGAAAAACAAAGGGTATAAATGTCATTTTATTTTTAAAAATATGAAAGAGGAGGCGTCTATGCACATTTTAAAAACCAGAGTAGGAGTTTTACAAATAACTTTTTAAAATATAGGTGGTTTTGGCACCCCTTTTGCAAACCACGAGGGCATCTATGATGTTGCCTAGGGGTGAGCGTGGTACGGTATTTTGTTCGTGCCGATACCGTACCAAATATTTTGGTTCGGTATCGAATTTAACATCGTACCAATCCCAATCTGAAGTATAGGTTCGGTATGGTTCGATTACGGTTTTGGTAAATATTAGGATGAATATATATACGACCTAGTTTACACTTTGAAATGTATAAAACTTTATTTAAAAAATCAAAATTACATCCAAATAAAGAAAGAAAAAATTTGAAAAAGGAATAATTAAATGCAAGAAATGCATATAAAATTTAGTTTAATTTATACTTCGTATTTCACAAACAAGGTAGAGTGATTGATAACAAAATAGTATTTTAAATATTTGTTAATTTTTTATATTCATCTACAAAAAATTAAAACTTAAATTAATAATTATTTAAATAATATATTATTTGTAATTCATATGCACTTGCACCAACTTTTCAAAATCAATTCATTATTTTATAAATAAAAATATAAACACATTATTATTTTTATAACACATTTGTATATATGTTTGGTTCGAGATTTTTTGGTATGGGGAGTTACCTCGTGCCGATCCCAAATGCCGAACTGACCATTCGGTTCGTTACGATAGAGTTCTTTTTCGGTACTTTATTAGTTTGGTATTTTTCGGTTCAATAATCTTATTTTTTCGGGAAATTTCAGGGTTGGTTTGGTACTTGGTCACCCCTACTATTACCGCCTATACGAAATAAGTAAATAACCCCAAGAATCACGAACAAATGGAGAAGATACAAGCAAGATTCTGAAAAAAATTAAAGAACCCAATCGCACTGTGAACAGTAGCGATGAGCTTTAATTTTGCCACAAATTGATGAATTCTTCTGCAAGAATGGTAATCCAATTTCATAATCCAGAGGCTTTTAAAGTCGCTCATAATTCCCCAAAAATTCGCAAATTATATCCTACAGCTGGCTATACGGTTGTAGGATATTAGCAAAAATTAGCAATCAAGAGCAGTGCATTCAAGTCAAACCCTAGGAGCATCTGATCGGAAAAACGAAGGTAGTACAGAGCAAATGGAGGGCGGGGAGCAGATCGGCAAAGGTGATGGTGAAGATGATGGTGGCGAAGGTGATGTGATAGTGGGGAAAGTGATTGTATACCAGATTGAAGGGTTTGTGGGGGAAGTGACTAATGTAGAAACTTAGTCCGAAATAGTTCAACGTTTGGGTGAGGGAGATGAAAACGGGTTGGAGATGGGTTGGAGATTGATTTTAAACTAGGTGGAATGAACAGTGCTTTAGTTGAGAATGAACACTACGTTATTCATAGATGAATATTATAATTGTATGAAATAAATGTGTGAAAATGAATACTACATTTCAGAAAATGGTATTTCAAAAATGAGTACTACTTTACTTTAAAATGAGTACCACCCGAATCTACCTATTTCTAGGTACAGCCGGTTGTACCATATACTTCTCCCAAAAATTGGCCTTCAGTTCAGCAAGAACACAAAGAATTTAGAATCCAAGTTTACGTAATGAACAAAAAACTGATCGAGAAACTTCTTCATCGGTTCAGCCAAACCCAACCCCATATCTACAAAATTGAACTCTGAGTTGGGATCCTAAGAGTTGCAAACATCGCACCAAAAACTCAACAAGCAAACGGGTTATAATCGTCTGAATAGTACTTTGAGAATACTGCCCAGCGTTGCGTGCGTTGCATGGTAGAATTCCAACCCAACCCCTCAAAAACAAGAAAAGAACCCAAATTATATTAAGGACTACAACAACAATATCTGGTAATTATGGACTAAATATGGAAAACCCCTAATTATAATGGACTATTTATAGAATCTACTCTTAAAAAAAGGACTGCGTTAAAACACATAAGGATTTACATTAAAAACATCGGCACTGGCGAATAATAAAAACAAAAAAAAGTATTGTATAATGTTAAAATATATTTGGTGAAAGCACAATATTTGAGATGAAGGATGTAAGTAATCATGGAGCATATAAAGTCTGAATAGTGTACCAGTAAGGACACTGAATTTTTAGCATAAGCATGAACTTGATAATGACTTCAACAAACACACACAAAATATGTGATCTATGAAATCAATGTGGTGATAACACATAATGCCTAATACGATTTAAGATAGAAAGAGGTAGGTGCTCCATAAAGACATCTTGGGAAAGTTTAAGATTAAATCACAAGGAGAAGAATAAAAAAGTGACACACTGGATTGGTAGTTTGGACAATGTAAGATTAAGACAAATGTTGTATCTGTATGAAATTTTATGAGCGGAGAACAGCCTCCCTATTGTGAGGGAGATGGTGGGGTATATATAGGTGCGTGATGGAGATAATAGTTATATAGGGAGTAAATGGTAGGGGTAATTATGGTAGGGAGTGAATAGTGGGGGTGGTTATGGTAAGGAGTGAAAGGTGGATGTATTTTAGGAGATGGAGTTTTGACCAGGGATGATGATGGAGTAATTTGTGAGGAGTGTTGGGGATGATAATTATGGAGTATTATTAATTAGGAAATTCGGGCTGGAGTATCTGGGCCGGACCATTTTTTCCATCAAAGTCAATAATCGATTAATAGAAAGTGATAATTGATTATCAATGTATCTGTTGGCTCACAACGCCTAGAATTTTTACCGTTGAAGCAAATTTTAAGCCAACAATCAATTATCACCTTTAGACAATCGATTATTAGCTGAAAATACTAACCAAATAATTTTAAATATGCAGGTTTATTGCTTGATTGATTTTGAACCAATGTGCAAAGGCCACATCCCCTTTTAGCTTATAGATAGAGGCTTTTTTCCTTGTTTTTGCATGGACAACTCTCCTCATTCTTTATTATTATATTCATATCAGTTGTGCATCAAATTTAGAGTTTTTGTTGAGTCATTTTAGAAATAACTTCGTGTTGTTGGTAGAGGTTTTGGTGAATCTCTTTATCCACTATTTTTGCCTTGAGAGTTCATAACATAAGAGAGAAGTTTAAGAAGAGCAATTCTTCTCATTGAGCGTTGGGTTTACTATGAACCCGTAATGTTAGTGGTTGAAGTCTTGGTCGAGGAGTTCGAGCGGTGTAAAGTATTGGGCGAGAAGTAGAAGTGGTTAAAGTCTTGTAGAGAGTACATCTAAGAGTGGTTGTAAACAATTTGTTAAGCATCTGTAAGCTTAATGAGGCTTGTGTGTTAGTGGAGGCTCCCATCCCTTCAATGGACACCCTTTTATATGGGAACCCTATGGTAAGAGTTCACTTAGACTTCTTCATAGGCCTGCTTCTTGAATCAGGTGTAGTATGTTTAAGCCTAGAGGAATATTTTTCCATCAACAATTAATCTATTTCTTTTGGCTTGAACCCTGAGAAATCCACTCTTTAAAAGTAATGGTGAAGCTCACCCAGGTTTGAGTTTCAATGGAGGGATTGATTCAATTTACGTTATTAGGATTGATAAAGTATGAACATAAATTACTTTGGAATAAAGTCGATAACAATGAAAAAATATCCATATCTATAGTTGAAGGTGACATTCCTTTTTCGTATTCATCATATTCATTTTTTGAGAATGAACTAAACAGTAATATATACTCTTCAGACTTCCAACCTAATATTAGAACAACAAAATCACTTCGAGAAATTAAGTCATTTTTTAGAAATTATTTTCATAGTTTCCAAATAAACCCTTAGTATTTATAGTTTGGTTTTCACGTAGATTATGAATTATACTCCATCCGTCCCACAATAGACTACAATTTGTTTACTCCAACCTCTCAATAATTTTTTTTATTTGTATATATTCATTGATTATTGGATAATATAAAATGTTATTGTCACCTCTTATTTTATAGAACTTTTCTTATACTCTGAAATTTTTTAATGTGTAAATTTTTTTACTCCGTAATTCTATACCAATTGTAAATAAATTAATTCTAAAAAAGTACAGGATTGTGCCTCGTAACTAAAAAATATTGTAATAAATTTTGGGACGGGGCGAGTATGAGGTTAATTTTTAAGAGAAATCTTGAGAAATGATTAAAAAATAAATAAAAATGATGGAAAAGTTGATGTGAAAAAAGAAAATTAATTGAATAGGAAAGGCGCACTAATTTGAAATAGCCAAAAAAGGAAATAGTAAAGTATTATTTGCTAGTTCTTTTTTTTTTTTTTTTGTACAGAGGGAGTATTACATAACAAAAACGAAAGCATTGGACATACACCCTGAGATTCTAAGATTCTCAAGCATGAGGTTCATCCTTTTTTTTCTTCAAGCATATACTGAATAAGATTGAAGCTCTTGATTATGGCGATAGCATCAACATGAAGAATTCAGATATCGGTGCCCCATAGCCGCTTCCAGTGAGATAGTCCGTATCGTAGATAAAGTAAAGCATCATAAATGGCCATTTTGTTAAATGAATAGCCATTGTCAAGCAAGGTTACAACTTTTGTTAACAAATTCAGAATAGTGAGCAGGACCATTTGCATCTTAGCCATCTCTCAAGAGCAAGAAGCTACTGTGCAAACATAAAACAGTTTATCTGGCCAAGCTGAAATCATTGATTCAGCAAATGGCCTATGACCAAAATCTATGGGACTCTAAAGTCTGTGCACCAAAATGAGTCATTTACATATAAGGATATAAAAAATACAATGGTGAACAAACTATGGCGGTAGCAAAATTGTCAAGGACCCTAAGCAAGCGAATCTTATGTTCCTTGTTTGGTGAAAGAAAAGGTTCATATACAGAGTGTAGGATTTGTAATGCTCATAGGGATGGTAATTCAAGATTAGAACCGCCTGCATTTTTTTGTATTCCAGACATGCGGTGTCGACTTTTGCCTCTTCGTGCATTGGCAATGTTAGTGGCAATTGAATTGCCTAAATCTCCTAAACTGTCAGCTCCTAGTAGTTTCAAGCCCAAGTTCTTGAACAAATGCAAAATTTTACAATCATCTCTCCTGGTCATCAGTTGGATTTTGAGTGCCTGGCTCTGCGTCAAAACTGTATAAAGACGCAACGGTTGTTCCAACAACTGTTTATGCATGCTCTCTGTCTCGCTCCTGCAAGAGAAGTCATCGGATAATTCCATAAAGGCGTTGGTAAGAGTTACTTGCATGAGTCCCCAAGAGGTTGGATCATCGTTCAAAGGATCAAATACAAATGAATACTGCCCAAATGCAAGGTCAGGCCTCTTAAACAGTTCTGTCAGAATTTCAGTGCATGGTGCGGAATTCTTCGTTACGCATTTCCTTGGGTTGTTCTGCTGCTGTTTCATAGCTTGGAAAATATGTGAAGCTTCTCTTATGCCACTCAGATAGGCACCATGCATGGTGGCTGGATGTTGACGAATAGTTGCTTCACCAGCAAAAAACAGCCTCCCACCAACACTTTCTGCCAATGTATCATAGTCACTGCCAGATGATCCCACTCTAACATGTGAATACGAACCAAATGTAAAGGGATCACTTCCCCATCTTGTGCACATTGATTGTACAGGATCAGGCACATTGATCCCCTTGGGACCATATATACCTGTATAAATAGCAGTGCATACAAATAAAAGAATAAATAAATAAAAATATGGGCTTAAGGAATACAAGACGTAAAAAAGATACAAATGAAGTCAAGGGCGCTCATTAAAAACTTCGGAAAGGAAATAGTCAAGACTTCAAGAGTGGGATAGATTGCTTCATTGCTTAGGGCATGAAGTACTTCATTGCTTACATCATCATGTACACTTAAGTCATCACTAAAGTCGATGTATTTGGCTATAATATATAGAGATTCTGAGTAATTTGTCAGTATTATATTAAGTGAAATAAAATCAATGATTCTCTCTTTAGATAATAGATATTAATTCTTCCCTTGGTATTAGAGCCAGTGCCATAAACACTTACATTTCTCGGTGTGTATAATAATTATTTAGCCTGAATAGTGAAATTCTGGACAGCCTTGCAAGTTGCAACTAATCAAATGCAAGCATACAACTAGATATATCTCTTTGTGACCAACCACCAGAAAAGTCACCACCAACCATATTATGCTCCCGGAAGTAAATATGCATCACAGGGTGTTGTTTTTGGATTAGAGACAGACGACAGGAGAGAGAAGATAGAACACGAGAGTGAAAAGAGCCTTGGAGGGTTTTTTTATTAGAACCCAAACTACCTATGCATAGTTCTCCATACCTCTCTCTGAGCCAAGAGATCTCATTAAATAGAGTTTAATCCTCTTATGGCATGCTTGGGAACTGGAATATGGATTTCAAATCCGGATTTGGCTCAAATCCTTTTTTTGGGAAATCTTAAAATTTTGGATTTGGATTTGAGACAAATTCCTCTAATTCATTACAAAGCTCAATTGCAAATCCATATGTCGCTTCTTGTCATTTGAAATTGAAATGCAAGAATTGAAATGAACGCTAGTTCCAAAACACTACCTTAAGAAAATTCAAAACAAATACCCCATAGTACAATTCGTAAAGAAAAACAACTTAGGGAAACTAAATACTTATCGGAAACTAATAATAATAATAATAATAATAATAATAATAATAATAATAATAACAATAACAACAACAACAACAACAATAATAATAATAATAATAGTAAATCGATACATAGTAACATTAACCGTTATGCTTTATATAAACATCGTTCAGAAAACAAATGCATCTAATTGGGCTTTAATCACATATTGGTGGCAAAGAGTGGAGCTTGCACCTAGTATACGTTTATGACATTAGCATTATAGGCACTTTAGGAAGTGACCTTGAAGGCATTGCTTAGCTAAAAGAATATCTATTTTAACAAGATCCAAATTGAGGATTTGAAAAAGTTGTGATACTCTCTTGGTTTGGAGATTGCCCAATATCACAATGTCTTATTCTCTCCCAAAGGAAATATGTTTTGGATACTCTTGAATTAATAAAAATATGTTGTACGCTAGACCAGTAGATACTCCTATGGATGCAAATATGAAACTCATTTATGAAAGGGAGAGCAACTCTGATAAGATCCAGATCACTGATAGCAGATAGCCACCTTAATTATATTATAATGTGTGGGTTAATTGAGTTTGTTACTGTTTTATATTTATTAAATAAAAGAGTAAGTTCCATAATTGGTCCTTTATAATAGGGGGGTTTCCATATTTAGTCCTCTATTATCAAATATTATCCCAGTGGTCCTTCTTTTATGGGTACCTTTCCGCAAATAGTCTTTTTTTATCTTCTACCATATTGGTGTTAATTTGAGGGCTAAAAGTGTAATTTCGCAATGATTTTATATCTTTCTTGTCATATACAATTCCAAAGGCCACTCAGATGTGTCGTTTGTGAATTACAATCACTTTATACTACAACTATAGTCTAGGTCTCTCATCAGAATCCTAGCCCATAATAATAGCCATTATTTTTGTGTTATCTGTCTAACCAATATCAGAATACATCGATGGACATAAGATTGATGTCAAATTACACTTTTAGCCTTCAAATTAACACTAATATGATAGAAGATCAAAAAAAGACTATTTGTGGAAAGGTACCCATAAAAGAAGGACCACCGAGGTAATATTTGATAACAGAGGACTAAATATGGAAACCCTCCTGTTATAAAGGACCAATTATGAAATTTTTTATCTAATCAGTTTGTTAGATAAAAGGACTATCAGTTATTTTTTATCTAATCAGTTTGTTAGAGTTGTTATAAATATCCCAGCTTCTCTATTGCTCAGATATCTAGAAAATAAACCATTAATCATATTGAGATTTTCTTGGCTTCTATTTTTTTTCATCAGTGAATTACTTATTGAGAGGAGGGAGGGAGAGTTCTATATTTACTCTTAATTTAGATCCTGAATTAATTCTAGTAGGTTTCTATCATTTGGTATCAGAGACTCGTTACTCGATCCCTATGGCAATTACTCGTGCAAACGCTGCCCACGATGAGGATGGTGGATCCAACGAAAGAACAACACTCTAGCACAAATCACTGCTAAGCTTGCTGTGTTAGATAACCTCAAGGCAGAAGTGACTGCCCTGAAAGCGCAGGCCAGAAGTAACTCTGGGAAGATGAAGATGAAGCAGTATATTGACGATTATGATGATGAAAACGATCACAGCCACCGCCATTTTGTATATTGACGATTACGATGATGAAAATGATCACAGCCACCGCCATTTTCCCAGATCCAAAGTTGAGTTCCCTAAATTCAGCGGCGGAGATCCACGGGGCTGGGTGGTGTTGAAGGCTGAAATGTACTTCCGTTACTATGGAACATCAGAAGAACATAAGGTTGAGATAGCGGCCATGCATCTGGATCGTGACGCTCTCGACTTGTTCTCCTGGATCAATGCCGAAAGTACGCTCTTGTATTAGGAGGAATTTATGAAAATCATTAAGGAGCATTATAGACCGCCAGAATACTTGAACCCAGACGAACACCTTGTCTTAATCAAACAAACAAGCTTCGTACAAGAGTGGGCAGGAAGGATTGCTCAAGCCCAAAATTGGCATGATTGTCTGTTGGATCATTGGGTGTCTTTATTGCTGGTTTGAGAGAGGATTTGAGGCCGGAGGTCAGAATCCACAAACCCAAATCTGTGTTCAGGGCTTCCAGCCTAGCCATTGAGTTTGAGAAACGGAATACACCTGTGCACTTCAAGACAAGTTCTATGGGATCGGGCCGGGGTGCTGGTTCAGATTCTACCATTGACCCAAATCGAGAGGTAAAAAACTTGTCCCAATCTCACTCACCCCAGCCACTTGCATTCTCGGGATCTTCAGGCCCAACACCAACCTTGCCCGTTCTGAGATTTAGAAGGGACGAGTCGATCAGCAACGCAGGGATAAGGGACTTTGCTATCGGTGTGGCGATCCCTTTAGGCCGGGTCACCGTTGTCCGACTTCATCCACTACCTTCTCCTTGATGGAAGTTGATGAGGAAGGTAACCCGATGAATCCCAAACATGTTCCCATTGATGGGGAGGAAAAAGAAGAGGAATTGTCCTTTAATGCGATTTTGAGAACGCCAACGTCCGCCACAATGAAATTAAGTGGAAAATTACATTGACATAAGTTTTCTTGTTAATTGATAGCGGTTCGACACACAACTTCATCTCTGAAAAACTTGTGCAGCAACTTAAGCTGCATGTTTCCTCTGTTCAAACATTTGGGGTACAGATATGAGACGGTTTTATTATTCAGTGTGATCAGATTTGCGAGTCCGTCACAGTTAAGCTTCCAGGTTTGACTCTTACACAAGATTTTTATCCATTTCAACTAGTTGGATCTGATATGGTTCTTGGAATCAAATGGTTAGCCTCTTTGAATACAATTCAAGCAAACTTGAATGAAATGTTTCTGATTTTTTGGGTTGATGGGAAGCAATATAAATTACAAGGCATCTCGAAAGTTGATCAAAACATTAGACTAAATTCAATGGTGTCTCTTAAGTTGCAGTTAGGAGTAGAATAAGATTCTCCTTTGAATCTGAACGACTTAATACAACACCAACATCCAGACTTCCACCTTGAGGACAAGGTATCTTTCAGAGAGAGGAGTAATGATAAGATCTGGATCACTGATAGCAAAAGGCCACCTTAATTATATTATAATGTGTGGGTTAATCGAGTTTGTTACTATTTTATTTTTAAAAAAAAAAGACTCTCAGGTTATTAGGAGTCCTGAGGCCCTAGGATAGCTTAGTTAGTTAGAACTTATCACTTTGTTGTTTTGATCTTATCAAATCAGATTGTTATTTTTGATCTTATCAGTTTGTTAAAGTTGTTATAAATATCCCAGCTTCTCAATTGTTGAGATATCCAGAAAAATAAACCAGTAATCACATTGAGATTCTCTTGGCTTCTATTCCTTTTTCATTAGTAAGATACTTATTGAGAGAAGGGAGGGAGAGTTCTATTTGGTCTTAATTTAGATCCTGAATTATTTCTAGTAGGTTTCTATCAAATTCCTTGATATTGAAATATACCGGTGGCTAGTTAGAAAACTTATGTCCGTTGTAAGTATTGCCAATGGAGCAAAAAAGTGTCATTTTTTTATAATGTTCTAGCTTCAGGTAAACAATGAATTAAATCAATATGGCACATTAAACTTCCCTCTTATATTCTATGATGTTTTGGGCAGTAAAATGCATCAAGGGTCTAACAAAAACATCTCTCTATTTTAATAATAATACGGAATGGTTGTGTACATATTGGTCACCCAACCCCAACGGAGTTGGGATTATACTCAGTTTGTTGTTGTTGCTAGTCAAAATCTGTATTATCTCACCATTCCAAGGGCATACATTTTAGTTGGTGTACGTGTAGTCAGCCTATTTCTTGATGAGCTATGTAGTGATCATTGTGCTCCTATAATACAAGTTCTAATATATATCATGAAAACTCCAGGAGAATGATTGCTTTATGAAGACATAGGTAATAACAAAAGTGTTATATATTGTATTACCAATTGGGCCAAATGTAATGAATAGATGCTCCACTCCAAAATATTGTATTTTAATTGGTGGAA